ATCAATTCTCCTTCTATCCTCCTTGGTCATTGTCCAACTCTCTGATGCATAACAAGTGATTGTGAAGACCATGGCCTGTATCAGATGCACCTTAGTCTCCAGAGAGACACCATTGCTCTTCAGTACTTTGGAGAGGTCCCTAACAGCAGACTGTGTGCTAGGTACTGTTAAAGGTTTTCTGCTCTAGTAACTTGAGAGTCCTTGCACCGCCTCTTAGAGCAGATGGGATACTGGTACCACCATTGTACAGACATGGAGACTGAGGTCAGACACACAGGGATGCATGGTTTCTTCTATTTTCTATCTTGGTGAGATGAACTCTCATTTAGGAAGCTAGCCGTTTGAAACCAGAGTTCCAGCTACAGGGAGGGCTTTTTTCTCTGCCAGTTCCAGAGGTGTTCCTTGTCATTCATTTTCCCAGGGCCTGCGGGTTTCTCAGCAGAGAGACCCCCGTCCCAAAGGACATGCTCTCCTCCTAGTTTTTTCTGGATAGAGAGATCCTTCTCATCTTTGATGGTTTGTTTAACATCCTTTTTATCTCAAAAGAGATTGACTCAAGATTTACCCTAGTCCGGTGGATTGCATCCTGTCTCATTTTAAAAATTGCTTTGCATCCAGCCTCATTAATGCCATAGTTGTCACTGGCTCTGAGATAGAAATTGACTCATAGCTGACCCTCCAGTGGGTTTTCTGAGGGAGTAAATCATACAAGAGGAGATCTCCCATCTTTTTTCCTGTGAGGTTTATATTTAATGAACACAGGATGATTGGTTAGATTACAGAGTGGAGGCACACAGTCCTGAGAATCAGGGCCCACAGTTCAATCCTCAGTGCCAAGGCGTGCCCAGCACCTGTGTGGACAGTGAGCGGTATCAGCCCTGGGGGGAGGGCAGAGTCATCTCTTTGGGGTTCCCGTTGTCCTTGCTGCCAGGAGGAGCTGCTGGGACTGCAGCAGGACTCCCTGACGGATGGTCCCTTCTCCAGGTCCCCTGAGCCCTGTCTCTGTGAGCGTGGAGCTGGATGGAGTGGTCTGTCCTGCGGGTATTGCTAGCACCATGTCCGAGGCCAAGGAGCAGGCGGCATTGTCTGCCCTCCGCTTTGTCCGGATGCACCTGGAAAGCCCAGGTAAGCCAGGCTGGGTCCCTGTACCCGGTGGGCAGGGACCCTAACAGGGTGTGAGGTGCATGTGTATGGATGAGTAGATGTGGCAAAGTCCACCTGATCAGCAGGTCCCCACCTGAAGAGAGCCAGGTGGACCAGGGTGCCAAGCCCCGCTGTCCTGTGACAGGCCTGCTGAGTGGGAGGAGGGGGTGAAAGTGGCCCTCCTTCTCTTCCCAGTGGTGAGTGCTCCCTTCCTGAAGGACGGAGAGCAGCGTCAGCCCCTTTCTCTCTTCCAGAGACCCCGAAGCTCCCTGAAAGGCCATCATTCACCCCCCTGAGCATCGGTAGGTTGGCCTGGCCGGCCCTGCCCCACAGCTCCCTGACCCTTGGGAGGGCTGAGCGGCCTCTGGCCCACCTCGGCTGTCCTCTCTTCCAGAGAGCATCGTGACCCATGAGCAGCGCTGTGCGGCCGTGGTCAGCGCCGGCTTTGACTGCCTCGTGGCCAGGAGTTCGCCGTACTGGGCCTGCAAGGGGACGGTGGCTGCCGTGATCCTGGAGAGGGGTACGGACTCTCACCCTGGCCCACCCTCCACGTCCCCGGCCCCAGCCCCTCACTGAAGCTTTCCATGTCCCCACCCCTTCCCTGCAGAGGTCCCAGGCTCCAGGGGCCACACCAAGGAGACCTATGAGCTGGTGGCGCTGGGCACGGGCAGCAACTGCTATCCTGGCTGGCAGGATTTCTCAGGCCAGAGGCTGCATGACTGCCATGGGCTGGTGGTCGCCCGCCGGGCCCTGGTGAGGTGAGGGGTGGTCCTCCAACCCTGCTTAGAAGAGAGGTGATCCCTGGGTCCTGGTGAGGTGAGGGCTGGTCCCCAAACCCTACTTAGAAGAGAGGTGATCCCTGGGCCCTGCTGAGGTGGGGGCTGGTCCCCAAAACCTGCTTAGAAGAGAGGTGATCCCTGGGCCCTGCTGAGGTGAGGGCTGGTCCCCCACACCCTGCCGAGGTGAGGGATAGTCCCCCATGCCCTGCTATGGTGAGAGGTGACAGGTGGTCCTTGCAGACCTGTCAGGGAGGGCAGGTGGGACACAGCAGCCCTGTGCTCTCATTTCCTGTCACTCCAGGTTCCTGTTCCGGCAGCTTCTGCTGGTGACACAGGGAGGCCCCAGGGGCAAGGAGCGCTCAGTGCTGACCCCTCAGTCCGGACCCGAGTCCCCCTTCACCCTCAAGCCTGGAATCTTCCTTCATCTCTACGTCAGCAACACCCCCAAGGGAGCGGCCCAGGACATCTAGTACAGGACATGGGGGCAGGGGCAGGGGTGAGGCTGTGCAGGGCGGAGAACGAGCCTGCTGACCCTGACCGACCCACCCCGTCCACAGCCTCCCCTCCTCCCCGGACAGCAGCCTCCTGCACACGCCCCCCTTCCGCCTACAGGCCCACGTCCGAGGGGAACTGAAGCCCGCCTGCTACGTGGCCTCGGCGCTCCGTGACACTCACGTGGGCTGTCTCTCTGCCAGCGACAAGCTGGCCCGCTGGGCAGTGCTGGGCCTGGGGGGTGCCCTGCTTGCCCACTTCCTGCCCCCTCTCTATGCCACCAGCCTTGTCCTGGGTGAGGGGCTGTGCCCCCTGGGTGGGGGGGCGTGGGGCTGGGTGGTGCGTGAGAGGGGAACCACTCACTTCTACCTCCACAGCGGACCCCTGCCATGACCCCCCAACTCTGGACAGGGTCATCCATGGCCGACCCAGCCTGGACAGGGCCGAGGGGTCCTACCTACCGCACCCCTATGTCCGTACCACCCTGCATCTGTTCACGGGGCCCTTGGTGGCCCCCTCTGAACCCACCCCCAGTGTCTGCCAGAGCGTGAGCCTCAACTGGAGCCAGGGCGACCCCGACATCGAGGTTGTGGACGTGGCCACCGGGCGGGTGAAGGCAGAGTGAGAAGGGCCGAGGTGGGGGGATAAGGGACCCCTGATGGGCACCTCCTGGCTGTCACCAAGTCCACTGTCCCACCAGATGGTGTGGTGGTCCTAGTGTAGAGGTGGCCAGCCGACTGATGACAGTAGCAGGTAACAGCTGTCTCTCCTCCCAGTGGGACCCTCGGACCTCCCTCCCGCCTCTGCAAGGCTGCCTTCCTGCATGCCTTCCGCCAGGCCGCCCGCGTGCTGGACAAGCCCCACCTCGTGGCTCTGGAGACCTACGAGGCGGCCAAGGTCAGCCCCTACTCCTGTGTCTCCGTGTCCTGCACACCCACGTGCTCAGCTAACACCCACGCTCACATTCATACCTGCACACCTCGACCGTGGAGACCTAGGAGGTAGCCCAGGGCAGCCCCTACCCCGTGTCTCTGTGTCCTGCATGCCCACATGTTCAATCCCACAATCACACTCCCCAACCTTGGGGACCTACCAGGCAGTCCAGGTCAGCCCCCTCCTGCTGTTTCTGTGCTGTCCCACCCTCACTACTCCCTCCCTCACTCCCAGCCTGGCCTTGAGGTGCACTCAGTCAGTGGTTGGGGTCAGCCCCAAGTCTCCACACTGTCCTGCACCCTGCAGCTGCCCCTCTGTCCTGCTCTAGGCTGGGCAGTACCAGGATGCGCGCCAGCAGCTCTCCGCCCTCCTGGACAAGCAGGGCCTTGGGGCGTGGCCCTCCAAGCCTCTGCTGGGCAAGTTCAGCAGGTGAATCCAGATCCAGGCCCAGCTGGACCCCAGCACCTTGAGGATCCTGCAGGGAATGGGGGTGGGGAGGGCATCACATTGTGTTCAATAAAGTGTGTTTATGGTGCTTTTTTGAGTTGTGTCCCTTTATGGACTGGTGCCCCAAATGCATCCAGACAGACTGCTGTGTAGTTCCTCTGTGCAGCCTCAGCTGGTGACAGCTTCACACCTGCTGGGGGAACAGTGTTGTGACACACACCCAGCCCCATGTTGTCCCCACCGTTGGTGACACACATCTGGTCCTGCCCCCACGATCAGTGACACATGTCCAGGCCCTGTATTGTCCCTGTGCTGGCTTGCAGATGACACCCTTTGGAGCCATGTGTTTTCACTGACTTGTTTTCAGACATCAGTCACCAGGCCTTCTGAGTCACACATCCCCCGAAGCACCACTGACAGATAGGTGGGGGCTGTGACAGGTGGTGGTTGTGTTGGGGTGATGGGTGGGGATTGTGATGGGGGAGTGGTTGTGTTGGGATGGAGGGTAGGGGTAGAAGGATTGGACCTGGTCTCCCACATGGGAGGCGGCTGTCCTGTCCCTGAGTTTCCAGTGGCCTTTTCTCCCACCCACAGTCTGACCGAGGAGCCCTGGTGGCACTGTGGGTGAGGTACTGGGCTGCTAACTGGAAGACGTCCTCCTATAGGCCTCACATCCTTGGACATTCTTTGGGACAGTTGTGTCCTGCAGGGTCGCTGTGCAGCAGAACCAGCGTGATGACTTTGGGGCTGTGATGGTCTTCGTGTGGCACCAGCCCGACTCCCATTCATAGAGGTGCAGTGGGGTTCGGGAGGGGGGAGTCCTCTCTGTGTGCTGCAGGTCCCTTGGTGTGAGGGGATTACCTCCTTGGGGATCTCTTGGGAGGCTTCCACACCCCGGAGTCAATGTGGGCTTGGGCAGGAGTGGAGGAAACTGTTTCCTCCAACTAGTGGGAGGTGTCAGTGGGGTGTGGGAAGGCTCTGATGACACCTCCCCCATCATGAGGAACTGTGAACCCCAGAGATGTTGGTCCCCTTCCAGCCTTGGGCAGAGGGAAGTCAGTGCTCCCAGGAGTGACATCACTAGGGGAGTGTGGGTGTGGGGGTGCAAACCATGCTAGGCAACACTGTCAGAAGGGAACACCCTTGGAGGGGTGGGGGTGGGGGCTTCAGCAGTTTAATAAAACTGTCCCTGCAGTTATAACAGAAGCCCTGCATCCTGCATCGAACACACTCCTGCCTCCCTACTTCTGTAAGTGATGACGTGCTGTCATTACTACTGATCACAGTGTCGCTTCCAGTCACATGGTCTCGGCTGCACGTGCTACAAACTCTTTCCTGCTGCCAGGTGTCCTGCTGTTTCAGCCACGCTGCTGTGAGCAGTGGCTTTTTGAGAATAAAGTTCTAAATAAGGAAAATGGGGAAAAAAATTCTACTTAGGAGCACATATGCCTGCATGCATAACTCTGCATGCACACACATGCACACTGCATGCACGTACATGCGTACACACCCACGCACACGTTCCAGTGCATTCTGCATCCAGCCAGCAGCGTGTGAGAGCTGAGACCTCTGTGCCCCCAACAGTTCCTAAACTCAGAGCTTCAGACTGTACCCGCCAGGCAGCCCTGGGGAGCACCAGGCAGTGAAGGTTCTGATGGAGTGCCCACCCCCTCTGTGGTGCTGACACTAGGTGAGAGTGTATGGCCGTGGCAGGCCACTTACTCTCAGGACACTCTGGCAACCTCATCCAGGGAATGATGAGAAGACCACCCCGTGCCACTCTGGCTGACTCAGCTGTGGACTGGGGCAGGCTGGTTTTGGGGTTGGGCAGGCAGTAGCTGGCACATCTGAGGGCTTAGGTGACCCTGAGTCCATGTAGAAGCCCCACCAACTCCCCTACCCCATTGCCCTGGTAGACCCCTGCAGGTGGGCTGGTCCAGGGCATTTGATTGCATTCTTGGTAAAACCATCCTCTCCCACCCTTTCCAAATCCTCCTGTCCCCGTTAACAGAACTCGCTGCTCTATGAACAAGCATTCCCCTCCCTCTGCTCTGGAACTCCCAGTAATCAGTGGTGTCTCTGTACTTGTTGATTTCATATGAGGTCCCAGAGCATTTGTCCTTTTCCAACTGTTTACTTCACTCAGCATGATGTTTTCAAGGTCCATTCACGTCTCTCTATGGCTGAGCCACAGTCCACTGTATGCACGACCACGTCTTTACGTCCACTCATCAGCTGATGGACAGGCCCACTGCCCTCACATCCTGGCTGTTGTAGCAAACACTGTTGCTCACAGCACAGGTGCTGGTAGGGCTGTGGAGTGCATGCTGGCTCAGAGTGACCCTATAAACATCAGGTCAAATCCCTGCCCAATTCAGACCCCCCCCCATGTCTGCTGGGCCCACTGTTGAAGTCACTGTGTCAGCCTGTTTCATTGAAGGCTTTCCTCTCTTTCCTCCTCCTCTCCAAATGTCTTTCCAGCCGTCCTCGTTGTAGGAAGCGTGGCCGCCCCAGCTTGGCCTGGGGGCGGGGCTCTAGGGAAAAGTACCACAGCCTTTGAGATGGCTCTGAGAGATTCCTCTGTGAATCTGTTTTCAGCTATCAAGTGGCATCCACACTTAAGCAGGTGAAACATGATCAGCAAGTTGCTCGGATGGAAAAACTAGCTGGTTTGGTAGAAGAGCTGGAGGTGGATGAATGGCGGTTTAAACCCATCGAGCAGCTGCTGGGGTTCACACCTTCCTAAGGTTGCTGTTGCCTCTAGAGCACAAGTGTAGAGCCGGCAAGGGCCTCTTCATAGTTCTTTGGCCTTCCAGAAGTTCCCAACTATATTGCTGAGTTGTTTATTGCATCCACATTTGGTTTATCTGTTATCTCTCTCTAAGCAGCAACAAATACTAAAATATGTGATCTTTCAGGGGAAAAAAAAAGTCTTTCCAAGGACTGATCCCTCCTGACAATATGCTCCTAGTACGTGAGGCGACGCTTCCCCGTCCTTGCCTCCAGGAAGCACTCTGGTTGTGATTCCTCCATTCTGGCAGTCTATGGGATCTTCAATCCTCTTTGCCAATGCCACAATTCAAAGGCATCAATTCTATTTTACCTATTTATTGTCTAACTTTCAGATACACAGGAAGCAACTGAAAAGTACCATGGTTTAAATGTTAATCTTTAAACTGACATCCTTGTTTTCTAGGACTTAAAAGAGGTTTTTGACAGCAGATTTTCCCAGTGCAACACGTCTTTTGATTTCTTGACTACTGCTACCATAAATGTTGATTGTGGATTTAAGTAAAAGGAAATTCTATCAACTCCTATCCTTCCTGCATCTACCTGCCATTGGTCCAGTGGTGAGGATGTTTGTTTTCTTGGAGTTGAGACGTAACCTGTATTGAAGGCCTCTGTTCTTCTGCAGCAAGGGTTTCAAGTCTTGTACACTTTCTGCAAGCAGGGCTGTTATCATCTGCGTAACGCTCATTGTTGATGAATCTTCCTCTGATCCTGATGCCACATTCTTCTTCAGAGTCCAGCTTCTCGGATGATCTGCTCAGCATACAGACTGAATAGATGGCAAGAACACAATCCTTACATACACCTTTCCTGATTTTAAACCATGCAGAATTCCCTTGTGCTTTCTGAACAACTGCTGACAGGTCTATGTACAGATTCTGCGTGAGCACAATTAAGTCTTCTGGGACTGCCGTTCCTCATAATGTGACCCGTAACTTATTATGAGCCACAGTCAATGACACACTACAAACTTTTTTTCTGGGATTCTCCACCCTCAGCTAAGACCTATCTGACATCAGCTCTTTTAGAAACAAGACTTTCCAGATCAATCCTGAGATCATTACTTTTCTTGGTTACTTAATAGTTTTCATCAGAGAGAGGAGGGATTTTTTTTAAGCATCCAGACCTATTAACTCCCCCATTCATAATACCTTGCTGTCCCTCGGAGATAATTGGAATTGATTTACTGCTGCCGCAGCGGCGACCAGAATCTGGAAACGCTGCAGACACGTCCAAGTGCGTCTGCAATGAGCCTCTTCCTTTTCATTAATCATATAATCACTGGGTAAACAAGTTATTAAAAATGGCATTAACGCGGCTGTGTTCTGCCAAATGAGTAATACTTGTCCTGTGCTGCATAAATCTGTCCAGCCAGTCTTCACTCCGCAGCCAGCCATTTCATTACAGGGTTTGCTCAGCTGCTTTGACGCGGCGTGTTGATGACTGCAGGCTGGTGATGAACACTGCTTTGGAAACACTCCGCGAACGTCTTCTCGGCCTGGTCCCTCTGCAGGAAGTTTTTGCCAACAGGAGCATATTTCAGTCGGGAGATGATGTCACCAGTTTGGCATGGCTCAAGTACTGCTTCCTCCAGGTCCCAGCCTCCGTCACCTCCATTCTCTCCCTGAGCTCTAGGGTCCTGAGCACCCTCTCAATCCCTGGGTGGTTCAAATTATTAATGCACTGGTAGGTCGGAAGTTCAAGTCCATCCAGAGATACTGGCGATCCACTTCTGAAAAATCACCCTCTGGAGCCAGGTTCTGCTGTGACCCACGTGGGGATGCTGTGAGTCACAAGTGACTTGATGGCAGCAGTCTGTTTTTCTCCTGGTTGTGGGTACCTCCTGTGCAGCTCCCGGCAGCCCCCAGCTCTTCCCTGGGTGGGCTGCTGCAAGCATCCCAGCTCCTGGCAGCCCCCAGCTGTCCCGTGGGCAGGCTGCTGCAAGCATCCCAGCTCCCGACAGCCCTCAGCTGTCCCCTGGGTGGGCTGCTGCAAGCATCCTGGACAGGAGGTTACTTCTCCACCTGTCACATGACCACACGCAGCACCAAGAGTGGAAGTGAACCTCTAGCTTTGAGTCAAGTGGGTCCTGTGACCAGTGGACTAAACAAGGCAGACAATTAGAATCCAACAGCAAGTCCTCGGGAGAAACATGGGTGGTCTCCGCCCATGAGATTTACGGCCTTGGTGAACATGCTGGAGGGTCCACAGCGCACTACACCACCACATGGAACGTGGAAGATTTGAACATCCCAAGTGTGTCTTACTGTCTTGGAAATGGGACAGGGAGGAACAGGACAGTGCAGTGTGAGGAGTTTTTAGAGTGTCCCTTTTGCTCTGGTCAGTGGCCATGTGCTGGGTGGATGGTCTGGTCTCAACCATATTCTGGAGACAGTTGGTACCATTTGCACGTTGTGGCTTCAGGGACGTAACTTCAATTACAGCAACAGAAGGGCAAGGGCATAAAAGGGCTTTAGAGTAATAGCTGCTGGACCAAGAGAAAGTACCCCTTAGCTGTACAAGAAACTCCTTCTGCCTGAGATTGTCAAGTGTCATTTTCTCTATTGTAGCTTTGCATACGGGGGTGTGACTAATGCTGGCACAGAAGTCTGACGTTAAGACAACTGAATTTAGGAACCACAAAGCCTCGGTTGCTTCTCTCGTATACCCTGTCTCCTGGCCCCTGGCTGCCATAGTGAGGGGATCTCCTAACACACCCCACCGTCTCCCCTCTCCCTATTTTCACTCCCAGCTCCCTCCGTGGGGCCATCCAGGAAATAAACCTGAACTCCAGGCCTTTCACCAGCATCTTTTACCACCATCCTCCTACCCAACTGCTGGCCCAGGTGGGTGACCCCTGACCCTGCCCCCCTCACAGAGGGCTTCTCCCACCTCACCCAACAGCCCCAGGCCAACCCCAGCCGATCTGTGGTGCCCAGAGCTCCCCAACACACACAGAATTTGAGGGAACTAGTATGTGGAGAAGTCTAAGGTATGAACC